CGACTCAGCTGCAGCCGCTCCCTCCACTCCTGTCCCTGGGCACCAGAGTGAAGAGGTTCCCTCAGCCCCAGCTAGGGACCCGCTCCCAAGGCTGCTGCCATGGCCACCAGGGCTGGCACCAGCTGGGATGCTCGGTTTCCACAGGTTGGGCTTCAGGAATGGGATTCCCCAATTTCCTGCTCTCGCTAAAACCCTTCTGGCGCTTGTTGCCCTCCCACCATTCATTGAAGGAAAAAAGGGAAAGATGCCAGGCTAGGATAAGAACAATTTACTGGGAACAGCAACAAGATAAGGAACAAACAGAAACAGAAAAAATATTGACAACAGAAGGGATAAGAAAAACTACTTACAGGGAAAACTACATCACCATCATTTGTATCTTCCTGGCCACGTGTTTCCTTCTGCATGGAAAGGACACCCTTCTCCTCAGGTAAAGACAAAGAGAGAGAGTCCCTTTCCTGCCCCTGGCAATGACCTGAGGTGGGAGTGAATGTAGTGACAGGGCCATGGCCAGACCCTCATGTCCTTCAATTCCATATCAGGTCATTGGCAGGGGCAGGAAAAGTGACAGGTGTATTCCCAGCATGGATCACAAGGAACATGGATCACCAGGGCTCTTCCCAACATGGGTCCTCCAATGGGGGATGAAACTGGAGCAGTGCACAAAGCTCTTCCTGCAGCTGGGGAATTTTCAGGACTTCCCTTACCAGTGGCTGCGTTGGTGTCTGACAAGGTTGCAGTTGTGCTTGAAGCCCTTGCCACAGTCGGGGCAGAGGAAGCGCCTCTCCTCGGTGTGAATCCACTCATGGAGGAGGAGATTTGAGCTGCTCTGAAACCTCTTCCCACAAGAGGGGCACATGTAGGGCCTCTCCCCGGAGTGGATGCGCTGGTGCGTGATGAGGTAGGAGTTTTGCTTGAAGCCATTCTTGCAGTCTGGGCAGTGGAAGGGCCTCTCCCCGGTGTGAATCCGCTGGTGTTTGAAGAGATTGGAGCTGGTCTTAAACCTCTTCTGACACTCGGGACACTCATAGGGCCTCTCCCCAGTGTGGATGCGTTGGTGGCTGACAAGGTGGTAGCTCCAGCTGAATCCCTTCCCACACTCCCCACACTCGTAGGGCCATTCCCCAGTGTGGATCATCAGGTGTCGTTTCAGATTATTGCTCTGCCTGAAGCCCTTCCAGCACTCCCCACACTTGTAGGGCCATTTCCCAGTGTGGATCATCAGGTGTCGTTTCATATTGTTGCTCTGGCTGAAGCTCTTCCCACACTCCCCACACTTGTAGGGCTTCTCCCCATCCTGAAGCCTGTCAGTGACCAACAGCTCCAAGCTCTGGCTGAAGCTCTGCCCACCTTCCTGGCCCAGAGTGGGGCTTTCCTCCTCACAGCACCCAGGGCTGGGTTTGCAGCCCCTCCTCCTGTGGGATGTCCAGGGATTTTCCTCCCTGTTGGATTCTTGTGCTGTGGAGCCACTCAAAACGGCCTCTTCCATGAGGTTCTGCTGCAGGGATTTGTCCTTCCTGGTCTCCATCCTCAGCTCCTGCTCTGGGGGAGGAAGGACAAGGAGAGGATGGGATTTGCCTCCGTGCCACAGGGAAGGGCAAGGAGATCCCCCCAGAGCGTCCCCGGCAGGAGGGCACCGGCAGCGGGGCTGTCCTGCAGCCGGGGGCAGTGCTGGGCTGGGAGATGGAGCAGAAGAGAGGGGGAAAGGGGCACTGACTTCCTCCTCACCTGCCTCGGGGTCCCAGGGAATCTTCCTCTTCCTCACAACCTTCTTCTCCATCTGGCAAATGTTTGGGTACGGGAAATCCTGTTTTGGGAGGAAAACAAGTGATGAGCACATTGAGTTTTGTACTGGTTTCAAAGCAAACCTGGGAGAGCGTCGAAGCCAGAATGACAATGTAATTAGAAAATTAAGATCAAGGCAATGATACAGAAACACTGG